TTCTGACTTCAACCATATGCATATATGTGTGTGTGTGTGCTATTTGGTGTAGATGCTGTTGATTTTTCTGGTTGAACAGTAAGATGAATTCAGATGACATCTCTAACAGTACAGAATACTTGCATAAAATTCATTTAAATATCAGCCACTCAAAATTTCCTGATAACATGCTTTGATATGGCGATATTAACATATTTGTTTTAAAACTTCTCAATTTTTATTAGTGGGGCAAACGTATAATGGAAAACGATAACAGTTTTTAAAATTAAAACCTCCAAATCTTGTTGTATACATGTAGATAGTTATAAGTTCAAAGTATTTATTGTTATTGTGTAAACAAATTGGTACAAAACTTAAAAAGAAATTGACCTTTCCTGGCTTATCTTGAAAGCATGTAAAATAATTTTTTGTCAACGACAGAATGTTTTTCCAGGAATCTCAAAAGGGTGTGATGTTTACACGTTTTTATAATTATACTAATAGTCTGCTAAAATATATTTTATATATTGTCTGGGTTATAAATCATCAGTGCATTTTCGATTATTTTTACAGAATTAATCCTCTATACTGTATATTATTACTTATACAATGTAAATTCAAACTACCAAAAATGTCAATAAAAATCCCTTCTTTAAACCGAGTAGAATTTCAACATCAAAAGTCGACAGAGCGGAGATCAATCCCCTGTAACGAATTACCTTTTAATTAACAACTATTTTTAACAGTGCAAAGTTTTGTAAAGCTGCAAAATCAATGTTCAGAGCCAACAAAATCACACAGCAATTCGTAACTTTTTCATTTAGTGGCTAATTCGTATAAATTCGTACGAGCTAATTCGTACATTTTAGTACGATTTGCTCATCCCCAATGACGGTTGGGTTTAGGGGTGGGGTTAGGTGCCACGCCCCCATTTTTAAAATCGTACAATTTCATACACTGAACTCGTACGAATTCGTACAAATTAGCCACTAAACTGGCAAAACGTAAAATACTTACGTTTTCTCTTAAGATCAGGCTGGCAGAGCTTCAGTGGTGAGTTTACAAATCTCTTAAAGAGTGCACTTATACTTTCGCCGATTTGTTGTTTTACATTCAAATGCAAATATTTGTGTGTTAAAGCTTTATACGTATTAATTCTCATCTCCTCAATGCAAAAATGACAGTGTACTTTAATACAAAAGAAGTGTATAATATGTTGTCTCAGCCTAAATAGAAATCAAATAGGGAATCGCAGTCCTAGTGACCACCAGAACCCGTCCTCACCCTCTTCACTGTGCTTTATGTAGCCTGTTCTGCTTGCTCTCGCTCCCTGTGGATTCCAGCTCATTCGCTGTTATGAGGACAGAAAAACAGCCCTAATGTGCCGGAAGTAGAGGTGGGCTTCTGTCCCGTGGGCTTCTGCTGAGTCATTTTCGGAGGAAAACGGATCCGAGTAAACAGCCAATCAGAAAGCCTCGAACAACAGTATTGTAGGCCGTGAATGGACATGGCTGTGGGGATATGAGAAACCTGATTTTCACAGCAGGCATGAGAGTGTTCAGAGGCGAGCGGTAATGTTCAATTTGCGAGAAACACAGAGAGAGAGAAAATATACTGTTTACTTCATCGTAACGTTGGGCCATTTAGAAAAAAAGTGTTTACCTTTAGGCTGTGAGGAGGCAAAGCATCAATAATTCTGGAGTGAATTGCTTTAACAATCATTCATAATTATTGCCCTCTGGCAATTTCATTTAGTCATTTAGCAGATGCTTTTGTCCAAAGCGACTTACAATTGAGGAGGCATTCAGCGATTCAACAAGAAGAAAGAGACTGTGCACAAAGAACTAAGAGAGAG